GCGGCCCGGCCCCGGGGGCCGGCCAGGAACGTCAGCTGCTACAAGATGGAGGATTTCAGGTCTCCGTGCCTGGCAGGGAGGAACACACCACCTGATTTCATCGCTCCCTTCATCTCTGAAGGGGCAAAGTGCTGCTCGTGACAGACACCACCAACCCAACCTCCGCGTCCTGACGCACACCCGCAGCGTTCAGAGCCACCACGCGACGCGCAGGGCTGCCAGCCCGCTCCTGCCCACGGGAAAAGAGAGCAGCACATCACTAGTTGTAGTTACAGATCAAACACGTTCCCTGAAGTAGGATAAGAAGCGCTTGTGAATGTTTTCCTTCATTCCCATATCCTCCACATCAAATGAGCTCCCACGCAGATCCCTGGCACCCTTGCAGGAGGTGAAAGCTGCTACGGAGATGTCAACGCCCTGCTGCTGGCTCAGGGACCGGGGAGCCTGGCGAAGGCACCCTGGGTTTGGTGGAGGAGGTGGAACACAGAACAGGCTTTTTCACAGGGAAAACCAGGGTCCTCTTCTTCAAAAAGCAAAACAAATATTCCCCAACAAAAACAGAAGTAGGGAAACGCACTCATTTCACCACAGAGCGTTCCACATTTGCTGTGATCTCTTGCTCTTCTCCTCCCACCACCTCCCCATTCAGCCTCTGCCATTTCCAGCAGTCTTCCCCGCCTGCCAAGTGCCACGGCCCCTCCGCACCGGCTCACCGCAGCCCCTGGCACGCGACGTCGGAGCTTTGCCCCTTCCAGCCGAGAGGAGGGACGCTCCTGTCCTCGGGCGGCTGTCTGCTCCCAGGAGGGGCATTTTTAAGGCAGCGCTTTCCTTATTCAGACGTCTTTGAAGATTCAGCACCTCCACTGCATTAGGTTTGGAGGCTGACTCATTTCCAGTGGGTTTCACCTAGAGACTTTCCACAGAGGAAATCAGATTTTGAAGGGCTTTAAATGGCTTTAAATAAACCAAGGCAGAGAACAGGCTTTCCTTCCTTCCCCTTTCAGCGATGGCCGAGAGACCTGACACCAGCAGCGTCACGCTTGCAGCCGCTCTTCAACAACAGCCTGCAAAAGCTGTTTTTTTGTTCTTTTTCCCTCTGTCCAGTCCCCAGGAGCAGCCTGGCGAACGCCCCGTGCCCCCACCACGGGCAGCCCCATGCCCTCAGCCCAAGCAGGCAGCCCCAGGGATCTGGCCCATCAGCTGGGGCCAGACCCTCGGGGGCTGAAGGATCTCCTGCCGTCCCTCCTGCCCACTGCGCCACCCCCCCAGCACCCACCACCCCGCACTGGCCGTTCTACAGCGCCAGCTAAGCCAAAGCAGGATTAACTTGCAAAGTGCTGGGTTTAGGGCATTTAGGCCATCCGGTTTATCTCCCCGGGCGCAGCTGGCAGCTGTGTAACCTGCACAGTTGCACCAGGCTGGCAGGGACATAAAACGGGTTCAGGATTGCTAATCCCCAAAGAGATGTGCGGGGAGTAGTGTGACACTCCGCCGCCGCGAAGGCAGAGGCCGGCGATTATTTTCCATACGACACATCCCGCAATTCATTTTTCCCAGCCGTTTGCCGCCTGGTCCCTGCTGCAGGGCAGCGCGGGGCGGCTTTGTTTTGGCAAGGCCTTCCAGCAGAGCAAAGGCGGCTTTAGGAGCAGCACCCACCTGGATCGGGAGATGTGGCTGATGCTCAGTGTCACGTGTGCTCCCAGTCTACCCGAGGCACTGGGAAGCGGGACTTGCTGGGAGGCCAGTGCCACGCCACCATCCTCCCCAGCGCCCGGCAGCACGGAGCAGAGCTGGAGCCGTGGAAAACCTCCGCAAATTATCTGCTGAATTGGGAATGTGAAATTCTATCCGTGAAAGTTCAACTTGGTAAAATACACTATGGAATAGGTGACTGGCATCTGAGGAACACGGCTCCTGATGCTGTTTAAAAACCAGCAGTACAGGCAAATTCCTACAGGAGAGACTCTCTCAGTAGCTGAAAGCTTGCACCAAAAAGAAGAAAACTTACCGATATTAATCTCATCGTCCGTCAGCGTGTCACCAATGAAATCGAACTGAAAGGACTGCAGAGTCTGGGAGAACTTCTGTACCGCCGACGAGTAACCTGGAAAAGGAGAGAGCAACAGGGCTGTGCGTTTTGGGAATTGCTACACAGAAGTGGCGAGAGTTTGAAATTTAGCCTGAACGGCACAAAACGGTAGCGAGGTGGTTCGACAAACCCACAGTCACCAGGACTTCAAAGCACACTGGGAAACGTTGCAGGGTTAATAACCGTCAGGCTGCAGGGAGCACTCGGTTCGTTTCCTTCTGCCTCCTCAGTGTTCCCAAAAATGCTTCTGCATCACCAATGGATGCACCGAACCGTAGGAAGAGCCGATCAACAGCCCCGTGTGCTGCTACGTGCAGGGAAAGACACGGACACGTTTCCCCTGCAGGAAAACAGCACGCAGCGTCGACCGCAGCGTTCCCCACCGCCGCAGGAACGTTTGCAGAGCAGCGGATGTCGCCGGTGCCACGCGGGCACCGGCACTGCTCCTCGGAGCACAGGGGTGTCGGACAGGCTCGTCGCTGTTCAACGTAATTTTTCCATTGCATGGAAGAAAAGTCTGTAGAGTCGGAAAACAAACGCGGGGAAAAAGACAGGACTCAAAATAGCTGTGCTCATCCGAGCGTCAGCAGATCCCGGGGCCCGATCCTGGCCCGCTGGTGAAGGCACGCTCAGTCTCGAGGCAAAGGCACTTCCTGAGGGTGGTTGGTAGCTCAGCCCAAATTATTTTTGGACTTTACAGAGAAGTTTCTAGCCAAAAGGATCCTTTGTGTCTTTGCATCCTGCGCGGCTGCTTCACAGCTTTGTCCGAGGCTCCGTTGGTGAGAAGGCGTCTGCTGACGTTGGCAGAGGAGCTGCAGCCAGGACGGAGCAGCAACAACCAGCAGACTCCAGCGCCAGCATTGCCCACAGACCCCAGTGCCACTCACAGACCCCAGTGCCACCCACAGACCCCAGTGCCACCCACAGACCCCAGTGCCAGCGTCACCCACCCAGCCACGGCTGTGACAGCCACGGGGAACCACTCCCGAACCCAAGTCTTCCTCCCACTGGCAGAGCCCAGGACGGAGGTGTGATGGATTTGACAGTCTCACATCAACCACATCTTCCTGCACAAAGTTACACGCTTTTTTGGGGGGGGTTTAGTCTTTCTCCAACAGCAAATACCCGAGATACAAACAGAAGGAGGCTGAACTCAGCTGACTTCAGGGAACAGGATGTAGACAGTAACACAAAAGCAAAGGAATGATTCTGTACTTTGATTTATATGTCGCTATTTTCCCTAATTTTTGACTCCAACTACAGGCACAGGCTCAGGCTGGATTCCTCTGCGGGGGTGCACCAGAAATGGCATTTTCTGAAATTCAGGAAGCTGCAAGTGAGGAAGACGTGATGGCACAGACGCTCACGTGCGACCAGCTCCCACAGCCCGGCTTTGCCAAACCCGGGGAAAGATGCTGCAGCAGAGCAACTCTGGGTACATGCATGGTTTGGGGTTTTTTTTTCGGTTTGTCTGTTTGTTTGAAAAAATAAGACGTGCACAATTGCTTTTGGCATCAACTGTTAAAATCTACGGGGAAACGGCAGCCAAAAGGGAGATGAGAATTAGTGAGGGGCTGTGTCTGCACAGTGTAGCTCACCCCCCGCACCTCCAGCCCGAGGAAAGCGGTGATCCGGGTGCATTTCTGTTCGTGCTTTTCCATTAAAAACTCAGTGACAAAAGGACTTACCACCACGGTGGCAAACATGGGGTTTTCTGGAACACTGCTACGAAGGGGAGAGAAAAATGGGACAACACCGAACTGGACATTGGGAAAAGAAATCAAGTGATGACGTGGGATCGCGGCAGGTCCCCAGACAGCTCCGCTGCCCCCGTCCCTGCGCCAGG